TAAAATAGTCCTTTTACCATTGGCATCCATCCCTGCTTCACCTGCCTCCAAATTCCAGCACAAGTCTGCTGCTGTTTGAAGAGGCCTATGAGATTTAGGGCATCCAGACCCTCATTGATTTCCAGGGGGAGTTCTGCGCCTGCTTCCCACAGGCTTCTTTAAAGGCTGAAATATTCTGGGGGGGTTTAAAATTGCAGTTACCCTGAACTGCTGCCATCATTTCCAAGGGTTTACAAAGGCCAGGAGGACTGTAACGTTCTTGCCTATCTACAGAGGCAGGGGGCTAGCAGGACAGAGGTACTGCTGAAGGTTGCAATTGCTAGGGGGGGTAGAAGTGGGGTTTCATTGTTTATCTGAAACTAGGAGATGGAGGTGGGGGCAGGAGGAGAGTCTGCTCTTGTTTGTTCTCATCTTTGAATCTAGAAACCATCATACCAAGGCTGCTCACATAGGCACCAACCCAAATGTTATAATCAATCATATTAGCTTAGGGAAGAACCAAGAATGCAAATAAGAATGGCTTAAGTGTTGCGTTCATTATTTCTCTGCCTCCGCTGCTGTCAATCGCTTTAAATTAAAGCAGAAGCAACCCTGCAAATAAGTTTCAGTTTAATATCATGACCCAGGAGAGGGAGAGGTGAACATCTTCCTGTTGAAATCTGCAGTTGAAACCAAGCAAGGAAGAGATGTGGGGGCTGAATTAATAACAAGATACAAACCCTCATCCTTAATGCTTACTCTCTTCCTAGTGCCAGGCAGTTAGTTCTTTCTTGGGAAGGTAATTCTGTCATTACATGTACCACAGAGCACCAGTCATGGGATGGGACCTCACTGTCCCACACAAGAGCAGAAAGGTAATCTGCTGGCCTGATAGGTGATTTCTTATGTCACCTGGTACTGGCTCCCATAGGAAGAAATACACTTTTCCTAAATGGGCCACAAACGTAAATCCTGCATCTGTTAGAATCAGGGACTTGGGTCAAAGACACCTGAATCTTTTCTTCCATCTCAGTGTATTCAAGTCTCTGCATTTTTCATAGGAACACAGGTCTGGAAGGGACCTCCTGGGCTATCAGGTCCCATCTCCTACATTTGCAGGCAACAGGTTTTTTCCAAAAACAGTCCAGTCTGGTCCCTCTTGCACATGTCAGATGGAAAGCACCCGAAGAAAGAAAGAGAGGCCTCTGGTGTGCCACAGACAGAGAGCAGGAGACCCCCCAACACCCTGGGGTAGAGGTGATTTGGGATGACAGCTGGGTCACTCAATCCATTTGAAAACATAATACCCAACAGTCAAGTGAAGGCAGAAGGCTGTAAAGTAAAGTAGAATGAAGGAAGATGCAACAGGGAGAGTCAACATCACACTATGCACGTTTGTGCCACAAGCTAGCACCTCAACAGATTAGGTTGACTGGGGCCTGCACCCACTAAAGTATTATACTTCATGGGGTGGCTAACTCAGATAGACAGTAAATGTCTTGTTTACCTACATTTCCTTCACAATTTTGATCTATGAGGGGCACAAGGGGAAGGCTTTCCTTATATCCCCATTCTCAAGTGTTATTAGCAGCTGCTGAATGAAGCACAGCAATGCTACACTGCACCCCAAGAGTGGCTACACTCCATTTACAGGTGAAATTATAACTCTCTATGAGCAAGTGAAGTATGGGGATCATTTGGTATCAAGGAGTACCATGGAACCATTTAAGTTGTTAACATGAAAACAAAATATGCATCTTGCATACGCTAAGCATCATTAATTTTCTGCAGGGAGGATGCAGTCTTTTTTCACCTTCCCTTAAATACACTGTTTAGTTTTGTGCATTTAAGCATCATGGCAAAATGCAGTTACCTTTTATTTGTCCAAGACAGACTGCTATAAAAGGAACAAGAGCATCTCAGCTCTCTTGCTAAGAGCTCAGGGAGTTGCTGCATATATCCAGGACAATAAGCAGCAATTTTGGAGCAGGAAGAAAACCAAGACTCACTAGATTAGTGGAAATGCAATCTGCTGTCTCCCCCAGCTGTTCCCCTCCTCAGACCCAATTTGTGGATATGGCTTTGTTTCTCTCTGGGTTAACTACCAATTTGATAGCTAAATGCTTGGAAATTTCATAGCAGGGGAAGAAAATTGCTTTGCACAAATAAGGAAATAGTCACAATTCTGGCTGAAGAAGCATGCTATGTAAGAAAAGGACTTGGCAATTACTTTGTTTTCATTAGTC